CAAAACAATCACTTGCAAATGCATTAGTCCAATTTGGTTGTATTAGTCATCATACACCAAAATCCAAAGTAAATGGGCCTAGGGTCCATTTTTCTTACATTATTGTCATTAAGTTTCAGCAATATCAACCTGCCCGATCGAGATCGAACTAGATCGGTCTCACATCCTTTTAGTCCATCGTTTATTTTGTCACAATGCGATGCTTCCTACTTTAAACGATGGATTATGTTTTATCGGTCATTCTACTTTGATCTTGATCATGCATAGTACGCGGTTAAGGCATGTCTGATCTTGAGAAGGTTTACTAGCTAGTTGAATCTGGTCTATAGCTTGTTATTATGGATGTAACAATCCGGTCGATCCCCATTGTTAGTACTTTAGATCGGAGTATGCTAGCTGGTAGATTTGTTTTCGACCAGGCATGACCCTGACTGTTTGCTATGCCTGCATCGGCTAAATAGCCGATTGCTCGTACTTTAACGCTCATAGTGTATCTTCATGATTCTGTTAAATATGAATAGATCTATTTGCTTTAAAAGGTTTAATCTGTTATCTTTATTATGGCTACCATCAATCCAGTCGAACTCCACTGTTGAAGATAATAGATTAGATTTAATAAGTTTATAAATTTGTTCGTATTAAATAGTCGATTGTTCTCATGCTATGATCCTTTTTCTACCAGAATCGGCTATTTTAGCCGATTCGCCTGTGCTGTCACACATATAGCATGTCTTTCAGAAACCTGTCAACGTATAGGTGGTTTTATAGATTCTTTGGCTTTAGTTTGTTGTTATCATCATAACTGCATCGATCCGGTCGAACCTCACTGTTAATGGTAACATATTAGATTCAGAGCGTTTGTAGATCTATTTATACTAAACAGTCGATTGGTTCGCATGTTATATTCTTTCTCGTTAAACTTATCGGCTCATTGCTTTACACCGGTTATATTTATCTAGCTGATAATGTTACTTATATCTAGGTACATTGTATTCGTTACTGTAAAATCAATCACGACCCACGAGCTTTACAGTCCTTAACAGTCGATTTCTTCTCGTATCGGCTATTTAATCGATTTTTCCGTCTGGCTGCTTCCGAAGCGGCACACTTGGAATTGTATGGGCAAAACCAGCATGTTCCACCTTAAATTACTGATAAATTTTCTCTCCTTGTCAATTGCATGTCAAATTGACTGGCACGCCCTCGGGAGGAATTCGCAGGATTGGCTGGTCCTGTGTTGAAGCCAAGTGGATCTACAGCCTTGCTCCATCAAGCAGATCCTTTCCAACTTTGTGTGTCAATATTTTTGTGTCGACACACGGTGGCACATAAATTATGCTCACAATGTTGACATGTAAAATTAGTTGCATGTTCTTTATATGTTTATACTAGCGTTATATTTTAAATTTTGTAGTGTAGGTAGGTTAGAACATGGCCTCATTTGTTTGTATGTTTTGAAGTGAATCTGTGATGTATTGTCTTTGAATTTTGTAGACAATGGATCATTTAGTGTGTTTGTTTCATGGAGGAATGGTAAAAAATGGAGTTTGAGAATATCAAGGAAGAGGTGGAATTGTTTCATAGGCTACCTAGCTTTAGTGAGCTCATATGAAATGCAAGGGACAAGTTTGACGGTGAGTTTACATTGAAATGGCAATTTGATTGTGCGAAAAGGATAGGGCATAATATATGTTTTGAGGGACCGCACCCAATTACCCCATTTAAACTAGCTTATCATTCTCTTGGATGACTCGACTTAAAAATATATCACTGGTTAGCCTAGAGGGAGGTGAATAGGCCTGTAAAAATTCAGCACAAACAGATGTCAGAACTCTACGCAGCAGTGCTGCCTGCAGTACTACCGCTCAGAGCTGCTCTATAAGCGACAGTGCTGCTCTGGCTGACACCCGAGACTATAGATCAAAAACTATGCAATGAAAAATAGATCGAGTAAATTTATGATGTTCCTAGGGTTGTATTGAACCTGTTTCACCACTTGGAAGAGATCAGAAGTGCACACACGAGTAGATCGAGATCAAACCCTAAAATCACCACAAACACAAGTATAGTAATGCAAATCACAAGAACACAAGTGAGACACCGATTTATCCCATTGTTCATCTCGCCACTAAGGCTTTTCTAAGTCTACGTTGTTGAGGAAGCCACTAAGGCTTGGGTTTAGCGAAACCCTATCCTCGTTCTCAAGTCAAGAGAGTGAACTCTTGAGATGAGAAGTGATTTCACTAGATGATTACAAACCTCTCGGGCTGTCACACAAGTTGGCAAGCTCCACAGACGACGTGATAGCCAGCTAGGAGCAAGCTTGAAGAGTAACAAATGCAATCTATCGGCTTGAATGCAAACCAAGTTCTTTTGGCGATGAAGAACAGGTCGGGAAGCTCTCTAGCACAGTTTGGAGGCTCAATCTCTCGAAGAATCAGAGGGGAATCGATGGGAGAAGCTTGAGGTACTCCAATGGAGTGAGAGAGAGGGAGAGAGCTTGCTCTGGTCAAGTTCAAATGCAAATGGGCGAGAGTACCCGTTGGAAGAGAAGGGAGGTGAAGGAAATATCCCCTTCTCCAACGGTCAGAAAATTAGTCGCGGCAGTGCTGCTCTGACCTGTTAGCTCCAAAATGAAAACCGAAAGACAGTGCTAACCAGGCTAGGTATTTGAGGATATTTGGTGGAAGAATTAGCACTTAGTTGCATGTTGAAGCTTGCGCATTGCATCCCCTTTGTAGTGTGGTTTTTCCTAGACTCAATTTAAAAAATAAAATGAATTATAAGTGCCTTTGAGTCCAATGTCGCGTCCTTTTGTTAGTGGGCACTCCACCATTATATATGTTATCCTCCTTTTAATTTTACCTGCTTGCCATCTTGATAAATCTCATTAGTCCCCTAATTATGTGATCATTATCATCAAAACCTACATTAAGACTTGATTGCACTTATAGTAGTTAAATGGAATAATCCTAGTAGTCTTCAATATGCATCTCATATGGCGGTTGAAAATATTCTCAATGGCGGTCGATAATATTGACTGTTCATGGAAATTAATTTTCAAGGGCAGACGATAATGACAACTTCTCTTGGGTAGATGCGGCTGCGAAAACTATCTATAGACATCGTTTTTTACAATACTAACAAACAATTTTGTAGTAGTACTTCCCACCCTATAGAAATAAATTGAAGGGCGATGACGGATTAAAATATCAACATCCAACCGATTAAATCAATTTACTTTTATGCATTTTACCTTTTATCCCTTTGCATTACTTCCAACCCCAATTGCTGCTCTTCTCCTGTCTCTGCAACATTTGATGTCACCTTAGTTGTTATTGGTCTGCTGCTCTACTTGCCCCAAATCCCAATACGATACTGCTAGCGTCCGGACGTCCGGATGCCCGTGGCTGCAATCCGTTTCCGCGCCCCATTTCGCGCAACCACGCGAGGCCCGCGTTGCCCAGACATCGTCCGCTCGCGCCTACGTTTCGCGCGCCCATGCGGGGGTCTGCCCTGCCCGGATGTCGCCCACGCGGGGACCACTCGTGCCCCCTTCCGCTCCTCACGCGCATCCCATGTGCAACACGTTATCTATTTCTGAAACTTTCAGATGCAACACTTGCAACATACAAAAAGAAGATAAATGAAACACTTGAAACATGCGTTTAAAACACTTGCAAAAATACTTGAAAACACTTGAAAACCATTGCAAACATAAGCAACACGTAGATAAAACACTTGCAACATATGTGAAACATATGCAACATCCACATAAAACACTTGCAACATACGTCTGAAAACACAGATAAAACATTGGGAACATACGCTTGCAACATACATGTACAACCATTGCAACATATGCAACATCCTTATCTACTTTTGCAATATCCATATGAAAACAATTGCAACATACATCTGAAACATCCGAAACACTTGAAACATACACTTACAACATGCGCTTTCAGCGACAACGCAACATCTCCAAGCTGCTTGGGAGAATGCATAGAGGCTCGTCGGCATGTGGAGTTCACCGGAGGCAGCGGCCTAGGGCGAGGAATGGAGCTAGGTCGGCGAGCGGATCTGGGTGAAGAGCGGAGAAGATAACGCCCACATCGAGTTCAAGGAGGTGACGGACGGATCTCAGGAGAAGGGCAGCCGGCGGTGCAGGGCGTGGGCGGCGCGACAAGTGGGCGGGCAGGGCGGCACGATGCCGGGTCGGAGTAGCGAGGAGGTGGGGGGGCACGCGGCGTGGTTGCGCTGGTGGCTGGACGGGGCTGCGGGCGATAGCGCGGCGCGGCATGCAGGCGGTGCAAGCTGCACCTAGGGTGCGACACGGTGGGGAAGGAAGAGGGCCACGAGGCAGGAAGACTGATTTCTTTTTCTTAACAAACTCCCGAGCGAATAGGAGAGGTATTTGGGCTAGCGTCGTGGCCCGCCCAATAAACAGAGTGTCCGGGCGGGTGGACGAACGTCACTTCCCAGCATTACCGACCCCAATAGGATTCCTCCGGCAAGCGTTCAATGGATTTATTTGACACTGTTGAAGGCCAGAAGTTCCGAGCTTCAAAACACAAAATTTCTGGTCCTCTGCAGCACGCCCAACACACGCTATCTCAATTGCCCCATCGTGTTCGGCTTGCTTTCGTGTCAACACCAACAAGCAACACACAATATTGTTGCCCTAAAATGGGAGCTTCGAAACTGGAAAAACTCCACGCATAAAAACTCGCGGAAGTACGGGTAGCTGGTTAAACATGGTGTTTCATCCTCCTGCCCAGAATCCCAGCGAATGAAATCCTCATGGCAAACTATAAGAAACATCAACTTCCATACAGAACTGATTTTGCGAGTATAAGTCGTCTGGATACCATACAGCAATTTTCAACAGCTACTTGAGAAAATTGGCACTTGAAGTTCATCATGAACTCTCCTCTAGATGAAATACGTGCTTAGGAGCATCAACTTCCATACAGAACAAGCTAATTGCACTGGGCAATCTAAGACGGTACGAGGTAATTGATGAAAGCTTCTGCCTTAGGAGTCAAAGCTTTAATGTCCTCACGTGTTGCAAGTTCATTGTCCTCAAACTGGAACGCTGGAGCACAGGTTACACCAACGAACGAATAATGCAGTTCAGGGTCTCTTCCAGGAATCTTGACAAACACACTTCCATCTTCAGTAAAGGATTCAATGTCGCAGGTCAAGAAGGCCCCAAACCATATGTTTGGAGGAACTGTGTACTGTGGTCTCTGGCCCTGTCGCAGATCAGGACCAACGACAGTCATCTTGATTTGTCCATCATCGTGCACCTCAAATACCTGAATAATGGATGATCTGAGCATAGTTTTTTAAAGCATCAGAGGTGTCATTTCTCAGATAAGTTTGCAAACCGTGAGAGGTTCTCCTAGGTAGTAATGCCAGGTTTCAGCACAAGGGATGCGGTGCAACCTAGCAATCTCCCCAGCAGGCAGTAAGAAATAGATGGCGCTACTCACAGCTCGATCAACCTTATCTACAACGATTGAAACACAACATTAGCGAATTAGGGAGAGAAAAAACAATGCTGACAGATCTAGGTTAACTGTACGTGGTTACAATCAATATTTATTGGTAGATATGCTCAGCAAGTCAAGCATATTTATAGTTTAGTAATCAGCAGGATCCAGCTCCAAGGTTACATAAAAACTTGTTCAAACAACAGGTTACTGATGGTTGATTTTTTAACCATCCAATTTAGGGGCATGGAAATCATACATTCCTATAATCTATACTGCATGTATGCAGATTCAGGATATCTTCTAATTGAAAAGAACAGCAAGCGCATAAAAATCCAAACCTCAATTTTCACTGTAACAATAAGGCATGACTGAATTTTGAGGTTAGGATTAAGTATTATTCCAAATAAGACAAGTGTCAGGAACCATCTTGAAGCTAATGGAAGCAATTTCCATTTCCCAATCCGTTGGGAGAACCTGAATCACTGAGCGCGACACTAAATGCCTAAAGAATTTGCAGCTGTGCCATAGCCAAACAAAAGGCTGACTTGGCTGCCTTCCAAGGACAAAACCATTTTGAGGCCCCATTGTGCCACTAACAGCTCATGATCATCAGATCATGCATTTATCCGAACGAATTTATGCTTCTTCTGATCAAAACTAAACAAACTAGAAAGCCTGGAGCTCTAAAAACAAATCTACCATCAACCAAATTGCCACCCTAATAATCCACAAAACGGCCACCGGCTACAACTACTTGCAACAAATAACCAGGTTCCCATCCTTCGTAAATCTCTATCTGTGCAGGTAAAACTAGATCTAAACAAAAGGAAACTTTGAGATCAATCAAGATACCTAGTCAAAAGCTTAAAAAGTTGCAGCGAGTTATCCAAGCTTACAGCGGGGCGGGAGAGCGGACGTGGGGAGTGCGATTGAGGGGTCACGGAAGGTCTCCAGGTAGAACCCACCATCGGGGTGGCGCTGCAGATCCAGAGCGGCGACGATCTCCGCCGCCGTCTTCTTCTCCTCCGCGGTCGAGAGCGCCATGGATATCTGGCTGGCACCTTTTTTTTTAACGCCGCGTCCCTCCTGCTCAGCTGAGGTGTCTGATAACTATCCAGTTAGCTTCACTAAGCCGTTGAGCTGTGACGAGACGGCAGAACCAACGGCCAAGATTTATCCAGGTGTGATGACGGTAGGGTGTATAGCAGAACCAACGCCCACGCCGAGGGAGACCAAGATTTTATCCAGGTGTGAACATGACCTGTCTGTAGTTCCGGTAGACAAAAATTTAATTTCAAAAAAAAATGTATCTTATCTTATCATTTTTTTCAAATAAAAAAACTCAAAACTAGCTCACCAACGCAAAAAAAAAATTTGATATGATTAATATATTAAAAATCATCATATTTTTTTCTACAACTTTTAAATGAAAATTTTTTCATTTGAAGTTATAAGATGCTCAAAAAAATTAATAACATATTTGAGGGCATTTTCGTTTTTTCACACCAGAAAAAGAACCCCGGACCCCCATTAAAGACCGACACGAAGGATTACGATCTTTATAATAACACGCGAAAAAGTCTCGACCAATCCCCGACCGGACCAATCCATCACCAGTTCACCACCGCGCCGCCCTAGGTCGGTCGTCGCCGGCAACAATGTCCCCTTCTGCCATCTTCGTCTTCCTCCTCGTCTCTGCGCTGCATATGCTGGAGTGTATCCTCGATCTCGTGAAGAGGGTAGGTGCCAACTGCCAAGAAAACTCTGCGCTTTTGTTCATTCAAGATTATTCTTTTGGGACAAATATTTGATTTTGGATGAATTGGGGTCGTTAAGAATGAATCTTCACGGGGAAAATTCCGCCTCCGTGATTATTGGATCTGCCTCCAATTGCAATTCCGACATTTTTTCAGCTCGTTCTGTTCCATTAATGTTGTCCTGACCTGTTGATGTTGTAGAGGGGATCAATTTCTGATGAACAGCTCAAACTGCGTGTACAGATCACGGAACTTCTCAAGGAGGCTAGTGCCTTGTCAACGTAGGAATCTGGATACTATTCTCTTATGATTTGGCGATTCTGAGATACACAGCTGTTATTGAAACCCTTTTTGTGCTGCAGGCCCTCAACGTTTGCGCAAGCCGCAAAACTGAAGCGGTTGGCTGGTGCTAAAGAGAAGGAGTTGGCGAAAAGTAAGTGTTGAATTCCTCAGACAGTGCTTGGGTTCTTGCTGTTTTTGTTTGAGCCGATCCGGCTTGCTGAACTCTTTCTTTTGTCCATTTTATAGTGCAAGAGCTGAACATTAAAGGGAAGCAGTCTTTATATGAACAGTATGGAAAAGCTCTGCTGGCCACAAAGGTGCATCATGATTCGTGTAGTTTATGCTCTCAACTATTGGCTACATACAGTTTGAGGAGTCTCATCAAATCCGCATGCTAGGTTCTAATCTACGGTGTGCTCGTTCTGTGGTTTTGGAGTACTCCTGTGACTACTGTTCCTAAACACCTTCTCCAGCCCTTCGGTAAGCTAATGCACTTCACCTAGCTAGCAACTTGTTCTGCAGCCTTGTTAATTTCCTGGTGTCCGCACATTTCATTGTATTAGTTTGTTTATCAAACTGGGGATTTTTTTTTGGAACGTTCACGAGATAAACCCAAAAGGTAACTGTATGCCTTCAGTGGAAGAAGGATCTGCTAAACAAACCATGTTCCCCTTTTTTTGTAGCTTGTAGTATGAAAATGAGCTAGGTCAGGACTGAATATTGTTATATACTTATATTGTACTCCCTCTGGATAACAAATGCTGACGTTTCAGACAATAAAAAAAATGAGTTATGCAACTCACATTTCTTGTCTGGAGTAGTAGTAGGCCAAAGGTATTACTCTCCCCATCCCGAAATGGTAAGCATATTTTATATAGGGAGAGTCCACTTTTATAAATTTTGACCAAGAATTATTCAAATTGTACACAAGCTTATGACATAAAACTTGTATCCAGAGATTTGTGTTCAAAGTGCGTTTGATATTGGTTCTTTAGCAAACGACAACATTTTGTGAGTGAAATTAAGGGTCAAAGTCTATTTTATACTTTTCTCTGATCAGAATATGCTTATCATTCTTGGACCGAGGGAATACTGCTGTAGATTTGACCTGATATTAAATATATATCACCTTTTTGTTTATTGTTTATTGAAACTAATTATTATACTATACAATCATAAGTCATCCGGAAGTAATAATTTAGAGGGAATTTTCAGGATGGATGTTTTCCTGGAGAGGTGTAGATGCTTCTACAGGCCGTGTTGTGGTGAGTACCGCTGAACCTCCATGTGTTTAAATGTTCTTGGCTTTACCCTTATTAAAAATACTGCCTATTCTTCAGTCAAAAAAAATACCGCCTATTCTGATTGAAACTGGGAGTCACTACTCACTGTACAAGATAAACGGTTAAGGTTGCCAAATTAGACATGGTGATGTCTAGTTTCTAAGTTCTAATAAGTTCTAAATGGTGCTTTTTTTTTCCTCAATCATGATAGAGAATTGGGTGTCAATGGGCATTCTGAAGTATCTCTTTAGATGCTCCATAAAACAACTGCTTAACTCCACCTTTTTCTAGAGCAGAGTTTGTGAAGTTGTCTTTGTTTAACTAGCGAAGTCGAAAACAGAGGAAGATAGAGCAGAACAGTTCCAAACTGGCTTTAAACATTACATTCCATCGTGAACAAATTTAATTAAAGCTACGGTCTAATGAGCCCTAGTAGCGACTACATTCATTGTGAGAGTCATGTGATCGAGTCATTCCTGTGAATCTTTTTGTTACATGATATTTTTTGAAACAACTTTTGTTACATGATATATCCTGTGACAAGCAAAGCATATTTTTCGCAACAATAAGTCTGGGATTTTTTTCAGAAAAATTGTAGTTATTGCCGCGTAATATCTCATTGTGCTGGTGCAGGTTGGAATTCTCCCATGGCTATTTTTGACCTCTCATGTCAGCAAGCTACTGAGCGAGAAACTTGCACCCATATTTCTGCATCCTTAGCTCCTCCTAACAACTTAGTTTTGCCTCTGTTTTTGTTCTGCAGATTTGTATGATCTCTCAATCCATCTACATTTATGTAGTTTCCAATTCCAAAGGGATTGGGATTTATTTTTTGAGGGGTAAAGGGATTGGGATTTTTGTAATTGTATAAAGTAACGAGTAGAATTTACATTAAGGGTAGCTGTTCCTCATACATTTTATTACCATAAGAAATGTTCCAAGAATCTCCTTAAAGTGCAAGTGGTTAATTGGAGCCTTGGAGGTAGAAATTCAGCTACAGCAGACTAAAGTCGTCACTCAAGATAGCAACAATATTTTTTTAAAAAACAAATAATTTAGTGACAAATAGGAGCGGACCTAGAGCCTGGACTGGGGTTGCAGCCTAGGTCCAAACCAAGTAGCACCAAATAGGAGAAACGATAATACTAGGGTTCGTTCGGATAGAGTGATTTTATTGGACACTTCCATAGTAGCATGTGATTGGCCAGAAACCCACCCACTCACTTGCCACACTCCTCCCCTCCTGTCGCTGACACACGCCTCTAGGGTGAATAAGCAAGTAGGAGATGGATAAGTGGTGCCAAGAGAGGTGAAGGACAGAGATAGATGAACAAGCAAACGAAAAATGCGAGGGCAAAGGCTGTGGCGGTGTGGAGCGGAGGTAACTATCCCATGTGGTATGGGGCGGCGGCGAATCTGTGCAAGGGAATGGGTTAGGAGTGAGTGGGTTGGTGGAGGTAGCTGACAGGTGACATGTGGCGGCAGAAGAGAAAATACGGTGTAAGAGAGTTTCCAAAAATCTTTCTTCAACGTTCTCTCTAAATTTTTATTTGGAAAGTCTTTTGAATAAAAATCGCTCTTTATATCTTTTCATCCTTCAACGGTTTCTCTACGCACACTTTAGAGAGCCAACTTTGCTCTTCATCTTTAACTAGCGAGAAATCAGAAATAGAAAATTATAATATTTAGAGCTCTAATTAAAAAATTACTGGAGAACATTTTTTTACTAAAATCTCTAATTCCTATTAGTACACAAGCATATAGAGAGGTTAGAAAGTAACGAAATGGATGAAAAAATTAAACTTACTAGCTGACAGATGGGCCATGTGTGTTGGGACAAAGTATCCTGAAAATGATATTATAGGTAGCACAAATACGACTCTGCTAGATCTGTTTTGTTTGTGAGCTGGCTCTGATGCTCTTGTTGTCCTCACACGCGCGCGTGCGCCTTCCCACCATCCTCGGCTGCCTATTCCGGGCAACCTCGCCCGCAGCCGAAGAAACTGAGCCTCGAGAAAGCAAAACCACCCGCGCAACCATCCTCCCAACCTTAGGGTCGCGCGCCCGACACGGCGGCCTCCCCTTTCCGGGCCCCCTCACGCCATGGCCCCGTCTCGCCACCGCCTCCTCTTCCTCGTCGTCGCCGCCACCATTGCCGCAGCGTTCCTAGCTGCCGTCGCTGCGGAGAACACCATGACCGACGTGGAGGCGCTGATGCAGCTCAAAAAGTCCTTCGCCAACTCCTCGTCGCTCTCGTCGTGGCTCGTTACCGATAAGGAAGGCAGCAAATCCCCCTGCGCGCCGGGCTCGCACCACTGGCATGGCGTGGTGTGCTCCGGCGGAGTAGTCACCGGCCTCCGCCTCAACGGCCTCGAGCTCGGCGGCACCATCGAGGTCAACTCGCTCTCCAGCTTCCCGCGCCTCAGGTCCATCTCCTTTGCCAGCAACAACTTCTCCGGCCCACTCCCCGCCTTCCACCAGATCAAGGCGCTCAAGTCAATGTACCTCTCCGACAACCAGTTCTCCGGCAGCATCCCCGACGACTTCTTCGCCAACCTCAGCCACCTCAAGAAGCTCTGGCTCAATGGCAACCAGCTCTCCGGCTCCATTCCAGCTTCCATCTCAGAGGCCACGTCCCTCCTCGAGCTCCACCTCGATCGCAACGCCTTCACGGGGGCTCCCCGCCGTGCCACCGCCGGCGCTCAAGTCGCTCAACGTATCTGACAATGACCTTGAAGGCGTCGTCCCGGAGGCGTTCCGGAAGTTCAACGCCACCAGGTTCGCGGGCAACGAGTACCTCTGTTTCGTGCCGACCCGCGTGAAGCAGTGCAAGCGCGAGCAGGCTGTGACCAGCTCGTCCAGGCGGGCTATCATGGTGCTCGCCACGCTGCTTCTCTCGGCAGTCGTGATGGTCATCGCCCTGCGCTTGTGCAGCAGCCTGCCCAGCAGCCGTGCCCGCAAGGTCGACATGGAGGGCCTCGAGGAGAAGCCACCCGAGTACGTGGCCGTCAAGCAGGCGTCGTCGGCCCCGCAGAAGCGGAGCTCCTCGTGGCTCGGGAAGAGGCCAGGGTCGTCGCTAGGCGGGCTTGGACACCGGCGGGCCGCTTCTGCCGCGAAGGTGGACGATCTGAGCACCAAATCCGCCGGGGATCTGGTCATGGTGAACGAAAGCAAGGGCGTGTTTGGGCTCACCGACCTGATGAAGGCGGCGGCCGAGGTGATCGGGAGCGGCGGCGGGCTTGGGTCAGCGTACAAGGCGGTGATGGCCAACGGCGTGGCCGTCGTGGTCAAGCGCTCCCGCGACATGAACCGGGCGACCAAGGACGCGTTCGAAGCCGAGATGAAGCGGCTCGGCGCGATGCGCCACGCCAACCTGCTGCCGCCGCTGGCCTACCACTACCGCAAGGACGAGAAGCTCCTGGTGTACGAGTACATCCCCAAGGGCAGCCTGCTGTACGTCCTCCACGGCGACCGGGGCATGGACTACGCGGCGCTGGACTGGCCGACGCGGCTCAAGGTGGCCGTCGGCGTCGCGCGCGCCACGGCATTCCTCCACACGGCGCTCGCCGGCCACGAGGCGCCCCACGGCAACCTCAAGTCGGCCAACATTCTGCTCGCGCCGGACTTCGAGCCGCTCCTCGTCGACTTCGGGTTCTCGGGCCTCATCAACCACATGCAGTCCCCGAACTCCTTGTTCGCGTACCGCGCCCCCGAGTGCGTCGCCGGCCACCCCGTGAGTGCAATGGCCGACGTCTACTGCCTCGGTGTCGTCCTCCTCGAGCTCCTCACCGGCAAGTTCCCGTCGCAGTACCTCCAGAACGCCAAGGGCGGCACGGACCTCGTCATGTGGGCGACGTCGGCGATGGCCGACGGCTACGAGCGAGACCTGTTCGACCCGGCCCTCATGGCGGCGTGGAAGTTCGCCCTGCCGGACATGACGCGGCTCATGCAGGTGGCCGTGGACTGCGTCGAGACGGACCTGGAGAAGCGGCCGGAGATGAAAGAGGCCTTGGCGAGGGTGGAGGAGGTGGCGGCGACGGCTTTAGCCACGGTGAGGGAGAGGCAACAAGATGAGAGCGGCAGCGAGGGGAGTGCACCGTCGGCAGACTCGGCTAGCAGAAGCTCGCACGCCTCGTACGTGCGAGAGGGGTCGATGCAGCGGGTCACCAGCGTCGGCGAGCGGTCGTTGCGGCGAGGAAGCAACGACCCCTCGTACGGGTACGGCATCTCGTGAGACGGCATGCAGGGCAGCTAGTTGGCCAGTCAGATTTTGTGAGTCAACCATTTCTCCCTTTTTGTTCAGTTTGTATCTATATCCTACTGAATGTAGCTCTAACAATGTTCAATTAGCAATCAGAAGTGAATTGTACAGAAGAATTTCGGATTTTCCTGTCCTGCAGGTAGAGTTTGTTTCCATAATACGAGTTTAAATGGTGCTGAGTAAATCCTAAAAACAAGTACATCAACAAATGCAAAGTTTTTTGTCAAAGCATTAATACATTATCGATCTGATTCAACAACTACAAACAAAAATTACAATTTCTATATGAATCAAGAATTTTGACAATAAAAACCTTGAGTTTGAACTAGGCATGCTAAGATTCAAGAGATAAAAGAGCATCTCCGAGAGTTTACAACATTTTTTTCAAAACCATGGAGTTTTTCAACTCGTCTAAAATTATTGTGAGGAATAAATAAGACCATCTCTAACCGTTTTCAATAATTCACTCCTAAAATATAGAAGACAATTTTACATCAAGAATCTATACTATTTCTAAATTATCCTAACCACTTTTATATATTATTTCTCTCTTGTGCATTTGCATCAGGAATTATTTTCTACTTTTTATTCTTTTCCACATCCTTCCACCTCTAGATTGGTTGATGGTATCCGCGCGATCGGTCGAAAGATTGGGAGGTGAAATTGGGAACTGTTGGAGATTTTTTTTTTCATTGTTGCCAAAAATCCTAAATGGGGAGGCTTTATTGGAACTCTTGGATATGCTCCGATGAAGTAACAACGCATGCCTTGTTCATTAGGCTGCAGAGGAAGGGCGGTTCTGCAGCAAAAAATAGAACACACGCGCACACATATGTCCAAACAGTCAAACACGGAAGGCCCTGTATGGAAGTCTGTTTTATGTCCAAAAATCAGTCAAACACGGAAGGCCCTGTATAGCAGCTCACAAATTTTCTAGGCTCGACCTAGACTGACTGGTATTTAGCATTTACATCTGAAAAAAAAATATCATCTCATCAGCCCACAATAAAAAAAACGATAGAAGTGAGGCTCCATCCTCGCTCGTTGTCGTCCACCTCTCCGACTCTTCTCATCTCCGCCCACAAGCTCGCCCTTCCTCGGATTCTCCACTCAATGAACCATGATTCCTTTTCTCCCTCTCCATCCTCTACATCTTGATTCCACTCAATTTACACATCCACGCAGTACGGCCTCGATGTTTGCTATGCAAGGGGAGATAAGGCTGCGACGGCAGGGTTGAGTCTGTGTCACGGGTGTTGTGGCGAATCAACACCGCTGGATAGTGTCGGATCTAGGATTTCAATCATAGAGTAAGAACCAAACGATATGCTAGTTCATCGAAATTTGAACGATATAATTTGATCACTAAATGATGAATTAATTGATAATATATGAATGCAACTAGTTACTGTTAGACACAACAGTGCCTCTAAACCGTAGATCAGAGGTAGGCTTTTCTCTTAGATGTGAAAACTGTTGATGTACCTTGGTCTAGGTCACCATTCGGTCCATGGCGCCACAGCGGCTTGGACGACGGTGACACGGCAGCTCGGTGCAGTGGTTCCAGCGTAGTGAAGTCGAGGTCCAGTGACGACGGCGGAGTCGGTGGGGCTTCCCGTCGCTGGCAGCACTACTGTAGATCGGATTAGGTTTTCTGTTGGTGGATCACGACGGCTCAGACCAACCTCATAGTTAGAGCCGTGATCCCCACATCTCTTTTATATGTGCTGTGCGACAGGGGTCCACCAACCATATTATGGTTGGACGCCCCCGATCAGAGCGCAGAGACAAGGGTCCAATAGGCCGTTGTGTCTATTGGTGGAGATCAACTAACATTCTCCCCCTTGATCTCACTACTATCTTTCAATTTCATATCATTTACTTTTGTTCATTCTATTACATATTAACGCATAGAGCATGTTTCATCGTCACGGTCAATTGTCGATAGATTTAACAGCTACAACACACCACCCTGTTCTGAAATAGATACTTAACTTTGGGCCTTCTTTTGTCCAGGAATTTTAGCATTTTCCTTAAACTCATGCTAGCTACATGTTCTCTGAACACGTTGTGTGACAAACCTTTTGTAAGCGGATCCACGAATATCTTTTCTGTACTTATATGCTCAAGACTTATGACATGATCCCGGACTTTATCTTTCACAACATAATACTTTATGTCAATGTGTTTGGCAGCACCACTTGACTTATTGTTGTGAGCATACTGTACTGCCGAATTATCATTACAGTATTACTTAAGTGGTCTATAGATGTCGTCAACCACCTTCAAACCGGGTATGAACTTCTTTCGCCAGTTCACCTGCCCCGTTGCCTCATAACATGCTACAAACCGTCATACATTGTGGATGATGTAGTGACGGTTTGTTTTGAGGTTTTTCATGAAATAGCTCCCCTTGCGAGAGTGAATACATATCCAGACGTGCATTTTCTATCATCTCCTACATAATTAGAATCTGAATATCCCACTATATGGAATGAATCAGATCTTCTATACGTCATTATGAGGCGTTTCGTTCCTTGCAAATAACGCAAGACTTTCTTTTCTAATTTCCAGTGTTCTATTCTAGAATTGCTCTGGAATCTACTAAGTAACCCGGTAACAAATGCCAAGTCAGGACGCGTACATACTTAAGCATATTGCAAGCTTCCGATAACTAAAGCACATGAAACCATTTTTATTTGATCGATCTTATATTGGTTCCTGGGGGATTGAAAATCCCCATATCTGTCGCCCTTGACTATAGGAGCAGATGAGGGACTACATTTATGCATACTGAATTTCTTTAAAATCTTTTCTATGTATGCCTTTTGTGACAGTTCTAATACCCCTTTATTTCTATCTTGGTGAATCTCGATCCCTAGAACGAACGAAGCTTCACCAAGATCTTTCATATCAAATTTTAAGGACAAAAACTTCTTTGTCTCCAGCAATAGACTGACATCACTACTAGCAAGTAAGATATCATCCACATACAGGACAGGGAAGATAAACTTCCCATTCTTCAACTTTGCATAGACATAATTGTCCTCAACATTTTCTTTAAAACCCAAAATTCCTTATTGACCGATCAAACTTCAAGTACCACTGTCTTTAAGCTTGTTTTAATCCATAAATAGATTTCTTTAGGCGGCATCCCATTCGTTCTTTTCCTTCCATGACAAAACCCTTCGGTTGTGCCATGTAAATATTTTCCTCCAAGTCACCGTTGAGAAATGTCGTCTTTACATCCATCTGATGTAATTCTAAATCGTAATGTGCCACTAATGCCATTATGATTCTGAAGGAATCCTTATATAAGACTGGAGAAAAGGTCTCATTGTAATCAATCCCTTCTCTTTGCGTAAAGCCTTTTGCCACAAGTTGCACTTTATATCTCTTTATATTCCCTTGGGGGTCAAGTTTTGTTTTGTAGACCCGTTTACAGCCTACTGTTTTTTGCTCCTTTAGGAATTATCTTCAAGTCCCAAACTTTATTGGCATTCATAGATTTCATTTCATCTTTCATGGTCTCAAGCCACTTTGATGAATGATCACTTTAATCATCCTCCATTTGAAATTCCTCAGTGTTGTATACTTCATTGTCAGCAGAAATAGCTGATTTTCTAACTCTTTGAGACCATCTAGGGACCTCCATATTTGGCACATCTTTTGTTTGAGGCTGTTGTTGCTCCCCCTCATGTGTGGCAATAGGTTCTATAGGATCCTGAAGAACAGGTTCCTCATGGTCATTCATTATTGCCACAGGCGGAATAACAACAGGTGCTGATACCACAGTATCTTGCACTGTCGGTGCAGCGACAGCAGGTAGTGAGAAAATTGGCTCATGAATCATTGGAGTGGGCGCATACACCCGCTTCTCTTCAAGGTCAATTTCTCGAGCTACCATGCTCCCCCTCATCAATTCATCCTCTAGAAAGATAGCGTGTCTCGTTTTCACAAACTTTGTATGTCTCTCTAGACAGTAGAAACGAAAACCTTTTGCCTTTTCTGGGTAGCCATTGAAATGACAACTTACTGCTTTGGGATCTAGCTTCCCAATGTTTGAGTTAAATACTTTAGTCTCAGCAGGGCTCTCCCACACACGTAAGTGTTTAGTGAGGGTACTCTTCCTGTCCACAACTCATACGTCGTTTTGGGCACCGACTTACTTGGTACTCTATTGAGAATATGAATGGCGGTTTTTAACGCCTCCATCCATAGGCTCATCTGTAAGGTGGAGTAACTTATCATACTGCGCACCATATCTATCAGGATACGATTGTGTCTTTCAGCTACTCCATTCTGCTAAGGTTCACCCAGTGTAGAATACTGGGCTACTATGCCATTCTTCTGGGGTATGCCGACCGTAGTACTCTCCCACGGTCAGACCTGACTATCTTAATCTTTAATATCTTAAATTTATTCAATGCTTATGTTCTTTCTTTGATTGGATAAATGTAGCCATAATGGGAGTAATCATCTGTGAATGTTATGAACGAATCATAATCATCCAGACTCTTTATAGGAGACTGACCATAGATGTCTGTGTGAATAATCTGTAAAATTCCTACGCTTCGTTTGACATCTTTCTTAATTTTCTTTACATACTTTCCTTTAATGCATTCTCTGCATTGTTCTAAATCTGAGAGCTCTAATGGAGGAAGAATATATTATTCTTAACTAGTCTTTCTATTCCCCCCCTCAAAATATAGCCTAAACGACAGTGCCATAATTTCGACGACGTATCATGAGCTCTCTTATGCCACCATTTCTAGAGTAACTCTTTGTCACCAGCTGCTTTATCAGCTAGGTAGCATATGTCTTTGAAGAGCCAGTGAACTGACTCTTTATTCTATCGAGGTACTCGGTGACCGTGTCACACTCTGGGATTGAGCCCACAATTACAGGCTCAATCGTGTTCTTTACCACAGCCAAATATTTTTTATTAGCAGTGACCCACTTCCTATGCACAA